TTCTTCACAACTCTCCATTCCCTTCCCGCAATTCAGGCACTAACGGATACACTGACCTAACTAGTTCAGGAATGATTAAAGTTGCTATGTTATGTTCATTCAATAAGATATGTGATAATAAAAGGGTATTGCTAACTTCCATGTCTGTGGTTATAATGATTACCAAATGGTTTAAGCCAATCTAAAAGTAACCAATGTGAATCTCGTAATTTGGACGATCAGTTTTGGTGTTTTGCTTTGCCTTTGGTCTACGCGGAACGAATACTATAGAAGTCGGTGTTAGATCTTGCGTTAGTATACTTCGTACTATTCATTAACGTCAATACCATCAGCCTCTAAAACTTTTTACTAAGATTTTAGTAAGTCAACAGCAAACATAACATCGTGAGATTAATTAGAAGCAGTTTCCAAATTACTTCCCGGTCTACGCTGTCTGTCGAAGGTACAGGTTTGACTGCCATTCTATGTTTAGTTCTGTGCTGACGATGTGTAGAGTTGCATTTTGATCAGCACATGATTTGCCTTTCCGCAATCCAGCCTGTTCCGCGTGGAGTTTTGTATCCTCTGCATCCGTTATTCTCTACAGGATGACGCGACTCAGTATTTTACTTGGCGTGGATAAGAGCACTATTCCACGCCACTTCTTGCAGAGTCCTAAGTCAACCTTCTTTGGCAGCTTGACAAGGTAGCCGGAGTTTCTTCTAATCGGTGGGTACCTTTCCTTCCTTCCTAACCTTTTGCAATAATGGCGTCAGTATATCCACTGCAGTCTCTGGATCCGTATAAAGTGCCTCAAGAGGAATTCTGTCCTGTCCTCCTGCCTTCCCCGACTGACTGTCAATAGCTTGATTGCACTGAAGACTTTTGATTTTGTTGGAGAACTGGTGTCCACTGGCAGGCAGTTCTGTGTATGCTACTGGTTATAGTGGTATTTGTGGACGAGTTGCGGGTAATGGTCGATTCAAAACTCCTTTGAATTGATCAGCCCATTGTTTCATTTATTTCTCCTGCTTGGCAATCAGGTTTCCTTGATCACCTTTCATAGATTTCTTCTGCGATGACCTCTTCTGGATAGAGACCTGGTGATCTGATATAACGCTCTGAGATCCCTTGTAACTGAGAACTGCCTGTTCTGATTCACTTGCCAGCCAGTGTGTCGTAGAATTGTCTTTTGTCATTCCCACTACTCTTCTTTACTTCTTTATTCAGTGCAGTGTACATTGAACTCAGCTTCTCCTTTTGTTGTTCACCTTTGCATCGAGTCATCTTCTCTTTCACCATCCTCCTCTCCTCTCTTCTATTAGCTTCCAGGTGCCCATAGACAGCCAATCCTCGCCTTGTTTTCTCCTTCTTTCTAACACGGCTGTACAGGTTTCCTCGAGCATCACTTCAGAGAGTTCTAGTCTTCTTCTACACAGGTTTCCTCACTGATGTTACATAGCGTCTCCCACTTTGCCCTGATGATAGCAATGAAGGTATCCGTTGTAGTTTCGTCTTTCAGTTTCTGAGTGTTTAACCTGAATTGTGGCCTGTCTCCAGTTATTGTGAAGGCTTTCAACCTGATTTTTAACGTTCCTTGAATTAGATAATGGTCTGAACACCCACATCTGCTCCCCTTCTCAACTTTGAGTCCATCAGGCTAGCTGCGTCTACACTTTCTTGAGCAATATTCAGATGTAGTCTATCTGGTTTCTGGTATGTCAATCAGGTGATGTCCATGTCACCTTGTGAACATCATATTTTTGTGATCGTACACGCTACCTTCAATCAACAAATTATTGAAGGCATAGAAGTCTGTGAAGAGTCTTCCGTTCCCACTCATTACACCAAGCGAGAGTCTCTCGATCCAAGATGAATTCTCTTCCTGTATTGTCTTCTCCCAGTCCGGCTGGCATTCATAACGTCCATTAATATTTTGATATTACCGTTTGAAATGTTGTCCATTAGCATTTGCTGCTGTCTATAGAAATCTTCCTTCTCTTGTTCCGAGTAGTTTCTAGGCGCGTAGCTTTGAATAATTGTTACCTTCCTTCCATCCTTTTGAGTTGAATCTTGCTGTTATTATCATGCAGGAGTAGATTGGTTCCCATTGCAGGCATAAGAGCTGTGGCTGCTGTTAACGACGTCAGGATAGCCACCCCACCAGTGAGCAGATGAGTGTCGTTCCGGTGACAGGAGTAGATGACTGGCTTACCGATTGACAGTTTCCATAGTCCACATCCATTCTATTTGCTTTCGCGGATACCCAGCACTTCTATAACATTTCTTCGCATTTCTTTGGCTTCCTGGGTAGCCTTCTTAGCCAGTCTCGTACATTGCACGTACATTACACTTCCCCATTCTTGTTCTTGCTTTCGTCGAGAGAAAATACATCGGCCGGTTGACTGGCATCCCGAAGACTTTCACCAGCCCACTGTGTCATTTCGCCTCTCCGACTTCAGCGAAGAATATGTTTATTTTTTACATAATTTGTATTTTTTATATTTTTTTATTGTACTTTGAAATTTCTCTAGCAGTTTGATTGATTCTATGGGATAGAGTTACCAACCACACGATAGCCTTCATAATAACCCGCATCATAAATGATACAAATTTGAACCCTAATAGGTCATTTGTAAATTACTGTGTTTGGAAAACTGAAACAAGCTACCTACGGTCATGTCATTGTGTAACTCATAACATTTCCAGTTACCATGTTTGAATTATTCTTATGAATCAAAATGCATCAACAAATTGCATCTAAGAAAGCATGAACTCTCGGATCTGTCATTTGTCAAATAGTTTCTCTCTTCACACTGTCTTAATACGTGATTATTATTCAGGGTGAAATTCTCTACTTATATCGACTCATCATTGAATAAGAAATGGCCTATTAGACCACCTGTTATGGGACTGAGTCGCCATACTTCATATGATATGGTAGTTAACTCAGACAGCGTATTTTCACCAAAATCCTTACATTTTACAGGAGAGAAGGGCATGCCAAACATTTGAAGATTGCTACTGAAGGTGTTCATTTGACTCTGAAATTTATCACCATCTTTATCTGGAAGGAGTATATCATTCGCGTATTCTAAGTCAACAAGTCTATACTATGGTGAGACTTATATATCCCTAAGTTACCGAATTCAGGGAAGACTTATATGCGCTAGTGAACTGTCAGAGAGGGACCTCGAGGCTGCAGATGACATTCAGCATGATGAAAGCTTAAATATGCTGTCGGAGCCACTCCCTATGTACTCAGGTTAAAGCAAGGTAACCTTATGGAGGTGGACAAACAGTTTATTTGATAAAATTTAACTATTTTATCATTTTCAAGAGTTGGTTTGTAAGGATTAGATTTGTTTTTACGCGTTTGACCACGGATTGATATCATTTGGAGAACCATTAAAAACCGGCCAGGGAATACTGGACAGTCGTTTCATCCTAGTCTGGGAATCATCGGCAGTACGCACCCACTGCCAGGGTTAGAACGTAGGACCTCCCAGTTACAAGGCAAGCTCGTATACCATTCAGCCACTGGGACCCGATTCAATGGCCAGTGCTTGAATTCTAACTTCTACCAGTTCGTGACTTAGCGCTACCACAACCAATGTCATCATTTGTATATTTTAGACTTCAAAGTAATAAACTTCTGGGAAGGAGCACTACATCAGTATGGAGTCATTTGGCTAAGTGACCATATCTTGAACACTGGCTGTTGATTACAGTTAACACAGTTACGACAAGCAACTACATTACATTAATCATGAGAGTTGTTTGAGTGAATTCATTTCATCAGAGAGATTGTCAGGATTCATCGACATATACTATCACTTGGTTGCAAGACACCAGATACACCTAAGACTAAATTAAAACAATTAGTCCCTTTGATAAATTTGAATAAGGCATTAAGAAGACTAATTTCGCGAGATGATATCGTCATTTCGTAGTTTCTTTACAACCGCTTTACGACTAACATGGTTAACAATAATAAAATAAAATAAACACGATCATGACAATTACTCAGTTAAATAAAAAAAAACAAAAGTACATACTAATGACCAATCATATTTAGATAGGTCGTGTTGTCCATGGTAGGCGAAGATTGAAGGCTATTGTTGATTTTTGTACACACAGTTTAGGCTGTATGTGATTAATCCAAACTGCTTCCATCACCTTCAATAACCTTGAATTAGAGTTATGTGAAATAATTGTGAAGCAGTCAATAATATTGATTTGGTGACCTGAGATTGATAAGTGTTTTGCAATGGATGATGCTGGATTTCTATTGAGATTAATCGCGTTAGGATTTTCGATATGATTTACTAGCCATTTTGGAACATGTTCTTTTCGACGACCACATTGGAACATTCTGTTGGTTCTACCTATATAGGTGTCACCGCAGCTGCAGGTGAACTTGTAGATACAGTTTGAAGTAGAGTGCACAGAATTTCGTCCTTTAATCGTAGGAACAGGGATCGAAAATGTTCGGCAAGTGAGAAAAAGAGGTTCGGCGGCGTAGAATGTGCGTCTGATGTCTGACCGAAGTCTTTGAGCTAGCTATCCACTGCATAATCTGGTCGCCCTTGAATCGTAGGTTAATGAAGATAGCTTTCTTTGGTACGGAAGCTATCTTTACGAATGACACATTGATGGATGAGCTTCGACATTTACATTCAGTTTTATTAGCTAATGTTTATCCGGAGAGCTTTATCACTTGTCACAGTAAAGAAAAGCCACATCTGTGTGCACAAAAAACAACAATAGCCTTCAATCTTCGCCTACCATGGACAACACGACCTATCTAAATATGATTGATCATTAGTATGTACTTTTTTTTTTATTTAACTGAGTAATTGTCATGATCGTGTTTATTTTATTTTATTATTGTTAACCATGTTAGTCGTAAAGCGGTTGTAAAGAAACTACGAAATGACGATATTGTAGTAATTTATTGTACTTGAAGTATTAGTATTTCGATCTGACGGAATTATAAGAATCTAAACAAAACCCAGAGAGGGCAGCAATCAGGAATTTGTATTTAGCGGAATTAGAATGCAATTCATATATGAAAATATTAACAATCAACAGTAAGTATTTAAACAATACAAAGATAGAAATAGTCAATCACCACATCCGCCACACGTTGAATGTCTCCTTGCGTATTTATAATGATATCGCGGTTTGCTTGCCAGTCTCTGCGATCTTCTAACTGATTCGGTGATATCATTTCCATCAGTATCATCTAGACTTATTTCTGAATTATCTACAAAGTCGGGATTAGTAGCGGAGTCATTATAATCATAATCGGAACGACCTACCTCATTTATTCTCACTTGATCCAAGTGTCTGTTATGAACTGAATTATCTTCGATGTCTAATATCTTCACCATTCGATTTCCCATTCTTTGTAGTATGATACCAATAGAAGGTCTATAATCATTCCCTCTGTAATAATGTACATCAGAAGTCGTGGACATCAGATGCTTTCTGAGAATTCGAGATTTGAATAGTTTTGCAGGACTTTCATGAGTACTTGTATGCTCCGCATTGCGATATTGAAGTAAGAAGTTATCCACACATCTCTCTAGCTCATCAAAATTTTGAGGACTCATTGATGCTATAGCACTCTTTAATGTTCGTACAAAATTTTCTGCCAACCCGTTTGACTGAGGATGACGTGGTGCTGTGTACAAATGACGACAACCTATATGTTTGAGCCAATCATTGAAGTTCTTCTCCGTAAAATGAGTACCATTGTCAGTAACTAAGACATCTGGAATTCCTTCTCGACTAAAAATCTTTCTCAACGCTCTGTGAGTGAATTTGGCATTAGGACTATCTGTAATGATGACTTCTGGCCATCTAGAATAAGAATCCACAATAACTAAAGCATAATATGAATTTAAGAATGGACCACAGTAATCTGCATGAATACGCTGCCAAACCTCACAAGATGCAGGCCACGGTGTCCACGATGACTTCCCATAGGACATTTTATGTAAACAGCTAGAACAGCTCTTTGATCTTTTGTTAATGTCAGCATCAATTTCCGGCCACCAGCATGTTAGGCGTGCTAATGATTTCATCTTATCAGCTCCTAGATGAGCAGAATGTAGATCATCCAAAATCGCAGATCTTAATGTTGGAGGAATAATAATTCTGTCATTCAGACATAGAAATCCTTCAGGATGGACTGAAATCTCATCTCTTCGCTTATAAAAGTCTGGAAATCTTCGCTTACACTGAACATTCCAACCTCTTTTTGTTGCATTTATAACACATCCGTAATATTTCCGAGTATCATTTATAAGTCGAACTCGATCCACCGGTAACGGCTGGACTAATAAGCAATCAGTATCATTAGCAATATTTTCAAATAATGAATAACGAGATAAGAAGTCTGCATGAGGTATATCCTTTGCCGATCTATGTTCAATAGTGTAATCATATGCACTTAGTTCTAAACTCCATCTCTGAACCATAGCAGCAGATGATTTATTCAAAGATTTTTCTGGATTGTAAATGAATTTCAAAGCTTGATGATCAGTAACTATGTGAAACTTAGTACCAAAGAGATACTTGTGCAAGCGTCTTATTGCCCATACAACTGCTAAAGCTTCTTTCTGGGTTTGTGAGTACCCTTGTTCACTCTTACTTAGACGTCTTGAAATACAAATAACAGGTTGTCCATTTTGCTCAAGTACTGCAGCTATACCCATAGGAGAAGCATCTGTAGTGAGAACAGACTTATCTTTCGATGAAAAAGGTCTTAAGAAAGCTTGTTTATTAAGAAACTCCAAAGTTTTTCGCAAGATATTCTCATGTTGTTGTTCCCACTTAAACTGTTTACTGGAGACAATCTCAAAAAGTGGAGATAACCGTTGAGTGAAGTTGGGAATGAATCTGGAGTAAAACTGAAGAGTACCTATCCATGATCTCAACGATGACATATTATTAGGTGACGGTGCTTGAATTAGAGGTGCCAAACGACTAGCATCAGGTCTGAAACCTTCGGAGTCTACTGTGTATCCCAAGCATGATACAGACGACAAAGTGAAATGGCATTTAGATGGATTAACAAGAACATTATTCTCACATAAACGCCTGAACAGTTTTAAAAGACGTTCATTATGCAATTCGATATTAGGACCATGAACTATAATGTCGTCTTGGTATGACTCAACACCATCTAATCCATCTATCATCTGATTTATTACATTTTGAAATATTGCAGGTGAAACCTTTAAACCAAAAGGCAAGAACTTATACTTGAACAATCCAAATGGAGTATTAATGGTTGTTAATGCACTAGACGCCTCATCAAGAGGAATTTGCAAATAGGCATCTTTTAGATCTATTTTGGAAAAGTATCTTGAGCCATGTAGCTTGTAGAGAATGTCTTCAGTTTCTAGAGTAGTGCAACTTTGCTGTAGTAGACGACTATTGAGTGTAAGGCGGTAGTCACCACAAATTCTAGGTGTTTTTCCATCAGCCTTTAGTGGCGTAACAATAGGAGTAGCCCAATTTGAAGACTCAACTGGCATAAGTATGCCTTGCTCAACCAACTTGTCTAACTCTTTCTTAACTGCATCTCGCAATCCATATGGAATTAATCGGCGTTTCAGGAAGATAGGATCACCCTCTATTTCAAGATGGATGGGCTGAATCTTCATACCACCTACACTCTTTGAGCATTGGAGAAGTAATTCCCTGAACAAAGATTCATCAAACAACTCAGTACAAAGTGAAATTTCGACATTTAACAATCTAAGGGCTTTTAATCCCAATAGAGATGGACCATATTCACTAACAAGAAAGGGAATATTTACAAAATTACCACTGTCTGATTTCAAAGAAATGTTAGTAGCCCCGATAAGAGGTAATTTATGACCAGTTATGCCTGTAATTGAACTAGTAGTAGGGTCTATCTGGACATTCTTACAAATCGATTGTAAATCTTTCTTAGAAATTATAGATTCAGTACTCCCAGTATCAATTATAAAACAATGGGACTTGCCTGAACTTGTAGTGAAGGTTCTCATTAGATGAGATTGAGTATTGGGAAAAGTTGAAAGAGACATCGACTGCATTTTACCAGATAAATTGGAAGAATTATCAGGATTCTCAGTAACATATGTATTCGAACTTCTGCACACAGTCTTGATGTGTCCAACTTTACCACATTTGTGACACTTAGCACTCCGAAAACGGCAAGTGCTTCGTAGATGTAACTTTCCACAGGATAAACACGGTTTAATGTTTTTGATCTCTCGCTGCATTCTATTACCTGTGGACGGCAGTTTGGATTTCTTTCCATGAACACTTGTATTTTCGACTTTAGAAAGCATAACATCAGATACTGACGTAGTGGGAGCAGAGTATTCACTGTTGACATCTTCATATGTAATACATAAATCTTTAGCAGTTTGAAACGTACAAGAAGGAATCTGAATTAACTCTTTCTCTAACTTAGGAATATTGATTCCAGCAATTAGACGATCACGTAGTTGAGTATGCAGCTGATCTCCAAAGTTACACTTTGAGGCTTGAATTTGAAGTTGAAGAATGAAGTCTCTAATCTTCTGGTTGGGAGAACGTACCAGTTTGTTGAAGTGAGCCCTCTCTCTGGTCTCAAATGTAGTCACATGAAAGTGATTTGTCAGAAGTTCACGGATCTTGTCATATGACAGAGAAATGGGTTTATCTGGAAATGCCAGATTCTTCACCAGGCTATATGCATCAAGCCCAATAGCGGTGATGAAATGAGCAGGTATTTTATCATCCCGAACATTCTTTGAAATGCACCACGCATCAAAGCATTCCAAATAATCAGCAATCTCCCGCGGAGAACCATTAAGAGGAAATTTTCCCAGGTTACTTAGCTCCATCGCGACGCCAATTTGTAGTAATTTATTGTACTTGAAGTATTAGTATTTCGATCTGACGGAATTATAAGAATCTAAACAAAACCCAGAGAGGGCAGCAATCAGGAATTTGTATTTAGCGGAATTCTAATGCAATTCATATATGAAAATATTCACAATCAACAGTAAGTATTTAAACAATACAAAGATAGAAATAGTCAATCACCACAGATATCATCTCGCGAAATTTGTCTTCTTAACACCTAAGACTGTCTATCTTTGACAAAGAAACGAGACCGTCACATTTCAACAGGATGTGAATAGCTACTAGTTTTCAAAAAACTGTTTAGTAAGCAGCCCTCTAGTCACAGATTTTTTCTCATATTTCAATCCATCACAAATTATTTACAACCCTAGTTTTCATTCCTTACTTCAGGCTGACACACACTCACTGACCAATTAATTCACGAATGATTACAGGTGGTGATAATTAAAGGGGAGTACTGCTTGCCATTTTGGTGATTTGTATGTTTTTGATCGATTTGTAGGTATGTCTGTAGTAAATTTCGGTTCCCTGTAATTATTGGGTTGCATAACAATTCTGTTTCAATTTGAGGTTGATATGAAGCCTGGAGTTGGTGGACGTCGACGCGTACTGGTTACTGTCGACACTTAGTTCCAGAACTATTTATATTAAGTGATTTCAGTTGAGGCGAATCACAGAAGTAACATTGTAGACGGTAAATTATATGCAAATATATATATTTGCAGTTTGATATGTGGAGCAAATTGAGGTCTTCTGATTAGAATGATTGAGACATCAACTCAAAAGTTAGTCTATAGTTTTTTGATCGATTTGTACGTATGTCTGTAGTATAATTTTGGGAATCCATAATAGTTCTTTTTCATTTGGAGGTTGGGATGAAGACTGGAAGTGCTTGACAATCTACGCTAGACACAAAATTTGATGTGTCCTGCTCAGTGTCGCCCCTTGGTGCTAAAACTCAGCACCTGATTTCAGTTTATGCTAAATCATTGAAATAACGTTGAAGTGCATGCTTAAATTTATAACTACAATGTAATATTTGATGCAGACTGAAGATTCTCGGTTAGAAGGTGTGTTTCATGAAGCGCGAAATGTGATTAGATCTCATTGTTTCCCATGAGAAATGCCTGTTGGCAGCTGGCAATGGGTTTAACTCAAATAGTATTAGATAGTGTGTACCATTCTGAAAATTGTTTGTTATGAATTTGCATTTTTAATAATTTCATCTAATCTCTTGTTTACAACTATCTTACTAGCATCATTTTAGTAGGTTATCAACAAAGATCACACCATGAGATTAATTAGAAATGATACGATCACGCCAATATGATCGTGATACATAGGTGTATATCAACCCACCCAATCACTCAGTCATACATATACACACATAGTAGTGAAGATATATACCTTGATATGATTACTTTGAGTATTATTTTTTCTGTGTATGTGTGTGTGCGTGCGTGTGTAAATTAGTGAGAATTTGTGTGTTCTTGACTTGTGTATAGCTGTAACTGAAGAGTATTTACCTTCTACACAAATTCCTTTTCTCTGTAATTAGTAGTTGATGGTTAAATTTGGTATTGGATATTAGACAGAAGTCAGTGTGCAGCATAAACTTTAGTCCCTGCTGATTATCACTCACTAATTAGGTTTACATTAATCCAGGCAAACACTCCTTTCCCATAGCATGTTCTCAGTCATATTCTCCACCTGTTCATTCTGAGAAGCGAGTGTTTCAGTCATAACTAACAATCTTGTATGTCGTATACTCTGATTATTTATAGGAAGTCTTCAATCGTTTTGACTGAAGACAGTGTTAGAACAAGACATATAGGCGAATAATACTGTTGTTCTCAATTAGATCTTCTTCAGGCTTTACTCTAATTTACATAGATTTATATATAAAAATTTTTAACCAATGACGGTGATTTTGTGGATGAAATAATAATAATATGGTAAATTTTTTGAGCGTAGTTGATAAAGATGATTATAATGATAACAAAATATTGGTAATAAGGTTTATGCAGGTGGCGATAAGAATAACAAAGGGAGTAATATGTGTATATGTAGACAATTCAATAAATAAATTAGATCAAATCTTAAAAGTTACGTAATACTAAAGGTGAAGTGGACAGATAATCAGACTTTAAATAAATATCATAAAAATACGAAGGAGGTGACAATTAAGAAAGGGTGGGAGGGTTTTGAATAGAATTCACCTAGACTAAGCGAGGGAGAGACAAAGGTAGAACAAACTTCTTTTGCATGCAAAGACTTGGATTGTTCTCTCGAATTCCCATAGCTTCTTCTGCTATTTGTAAAAGACGGATTCAAATTCCTTTCGAAAGGCTCGATGGAATGCGATAGACAACTTTGAAGGCACTATTTTTGTCCACTTAGTGACCGCTATCAATCAAATGACCCAAAATAGAACTTCGTATACATTTCATCTGACCTTTTCCAGACCATGAAGGAAGATGCTCATTTATGCGTTTTTTAAGCTGTCTAGTTGTTCACCCTATATAGCTCTCTCCACAACAGCTAGATACACATATATGTGGCACAACAAGGTAGCTTGTCTTTCACTTGAGCAATCATAATTGGTCGGCTGGAAAATGACAAACAAAAGGTGGTGGCATTATAAGTCCGTTTTATCGCTCTCTATAATTTCAGACGTAAGACTTCGCCAGCCATGTCCCCATTAAATTGCAATTTCATGAACAGTTGTTTCTTTTCAACTGTTGTCAGTTTCTCTTTATTGTACTTGGTGTTCATGTGTCTCCTTACAAATCTACTAGGATAACCCATTTGGACCAGCGTATTTTGTATGTATTCCAACTCATTTTGTAAGGAGTCATCTGTAAGCAGACAGTGCTTACAGTTGAACAAATCAAGGATACATGGAATTTGATTGAATTTTAGACTACATTTGAGATAGTGGGTGTGAGTAATGGCCTTCTATTTACATTGGCAAAATCTGCTTTCATTGTGATTTTTCTAATGTATGAAGCTAAATGTGTACTTCTGTACAGAGTGAAAGTGAAGTAGTCTTCTAGTTGCAGGAGGTTGTATTTTCTAGATATTCAGAATGTCTGAAGTTCCCTTCATGATTGGATCTCACTGTTTACCATGTAAAGTGTCGGTTAACACTTAGCGGAGAGATCACATTAATGATTACCAGATAGTGAATACTATCCTGAAAAGTATCATTTGTAAATTTACATTTCAATAATTCTATCTAATGGCTTGTTTACGACTATCTTACCAGCATCATTTTAGTAGGTCAACAACAAACATCACATCATGAGATTAATTAGAAATGATACGATCACACCATATGATCGTGATATGCACGTGCATAACCATCCACTCACTCAATCACTCAGTCACACACACACACACACACAAACATATCATAATTGAGATATATGCGTTTATATGATTGCATTGATTATTGTTTTCATGTGCATGTATATGTGTGAATCTCTGTGATTTTTGACTTGTGCGCAAAAATGTAATTGAGTAGTCAGCTTCTAGACAAATTCCTCTTCTCTGTAATTAGTGATCGATAGGTGAATTTGGTATTACATGTGTTGTGATATATTAGATAATTGGTGAATATGTGACACTCTACCTGCCTCAACTACCCACCTCATCGTACCTTAGGCAATCTGTTGACACTGAGGACAAAAAACACGAATGGAAAGGTATATCTCCACTCCGGTTGCATTGTGAAGATCAAGATATTTCAAAAGAATTTGCAATATGATGTTTTGGAACTCATGCCGTTAGCGTGGATGAATTCCAGACTCTGAGGATGTTCTTTGTTAACCAATACAAAGGAGATTGCAGACTAATGTCTGAGTGGTCAGGTGAACACCCATTCAATGAAAACAAAACTGAGAAAACCGCAAGTGTAGGTTAATGTGACGGAAGTTTATTTAGTACGTGTAATTTAATGGGTTTTCTCATTCTGAATAACGGATACGATGAAATCATTCAACTGAGAAATGTGGAGCATGGCGGTAGATTTCACTCACTGCATAATATTTCAAAGCCTGCTAGACCGTTTCCATTTTGAAGATCTCTTTTTGATATATACTTCGATGAGTAATATTTCTTATGTTGAAGGTAATCGTTTCTGCACGCTGGTACTACTCAGCTATCCCAATCAGGTAGTGGGCAAATACAACAGCACTAGAATACAGCACAGTAACAGTCGTCAACATCAATCATTCCCATTATTCCGATAAGGACAAGCAAAGAGAAGAGGAGGGAGAATACACGTCCACCCAATTATAAGGAAGTTACCACTGTTACTTCTAACAAAATTCGTTGGGGATCGTGTATCGTACTAAGTGGATTTCAACTATCCAACTCTCATAACTACCGAATCAGAGATGATTTGATTTCACTGTGATCAACTTATGCAGTATAATTCAGAGTCAGAATGAAACTCATTCATCCAACTAAGGGAACCATATCTGTTGGGTAGTTAACGTGTTCATCATTAGAACGAACACTTGACTTCTAAATACTGTGATTTCTCAGTAGTTGTCGACTGACAGTCATGAGACTAGAGACTACCTTCAAATTGATTCTATCCTTTACTTTCAGAGAACACAATAACCAACTGATGAAGTCAAAGCACACTCAGGAAGAACCTCAATAGTAATATTCTGTAAATCTATGTTTGAAGACAACCCCACTCCTTCCTATTCCAGGAGTTAAGATATTCACTGAAGAACATGAAAGCATTCATTTAATTAATCATATGCTGTGTAGATTTACAAATTCTCATTTCAATCTCCATTCACCGTTCAATAAATTACGAAGGAATAGTCAGTATAATCTTGTCATTGGTTGAATCGGTGTGTCATTATTAACGATGATATCTCAAATCAACTACCTCCTAGTCTATCGATCCAATACATATATTGATTAATTCATTCATATCTGTAGAAGATTGTTTACGCATACTAAAGTTCACTGAATATCAACAGCCTAGTTTGTTTATTCATCCGATTTGTGTACGAACAAAGATGGTTGAAATTGCTTTTTATATAGTTTTGATTGCCCTTTTATCATAACGCAGAACATACAAATGTCATATAAATGTGAATCGTATTAGGTCATTTAATATGATCTTGTGTTTAGGAAATTGAAACAAGCATCACATCGACGTTTTATTGTGTACATCCATGACATTTCACTCATCTCTTATTAAGCAGAATGCATCAAAATAAAATTGTATTTAAGAAAGCATGAACTCTCGTATATATCATTGGTCAGATAGTTTCTCTCTTCACATTGTCTTTATACGTGACTAACCATGGCGAGATTATCCAGTCATATCGACCCATCATTGAGAAGGAAATGCCTAATAGACTACTTATTACTGGAATGAATAGAAGTGAGTAAATGTGTGGGGAATCTGCGATGTGGTAGGTAGAGGGACGACTAACGAGACCGTGCTTAGATCTTCTAAACATGCTGAGATTAGATTAAATGATGTTCTGACGATTTTAGTCACAGACTATTCTGACTGTTGGGTGTTTCAGAGAAAACATAAATTAATCTGTAGACTCAATGCAGTGGTTGTAGTGTGTGAAAACGTGGAAGTTCAGTTAATAGGCTTTTAGTGTTTTCGTAGGTCTGATTGTCAAATGGACGTGTATTTGATATTCAGGTGTCATTTGGATCATGTTCTGATCGTGTAATTCACATTCAGCTGCAGAAGTCTGCTCCCTTAGTTTCTACGACCAGTCATACACAAAACAAGAGACATGTAAATACCTTACAATTTATTTGGTTGCTTGTTTGTTCAATTAAGGTTTTGGTGAAGCAAATAGGATGAATGATTGACTTTTCCCGTATAACTCTGAGCGAAACGTGAGACATTTCAAATTCAGAATAACTATAGTGAAGCGGAGTGTAATCCATAAGGTATATATGTGTGTGGAGAACAATGAGAATTTGATGAGTCTAGGCGCTCATAACAAGCGAATGAATTAGGGTGGTGGAAACCATTTTCATCAATATCACCAGTATTCTCCGGCCATTGGTTCCCCTATCAGGCAGTGCATTGTCAAATAATTCAGAGATTGATGCCAGACTATGATCTGACTATCATTAACTCTTATAAGATATAATCTTGAAACGAGGAACGATAATAACTCGGTCAATTCTGACTGAAGAATGCAGAACGTATTGGAGAAAATTATGGAGGAAGTTATCGTGTGTAATATTCGTGACTACTTCCCAACATTTCCTT